CCATCCCCATTACCCACTCTGCTAGAGAGCAGAGGGAAGACGCTCACTGAAATTAAGTCACAGAGGATCTAGTCTCACATTCCCCATCTTGCCTCCCACAAAAACCCACAAAAACAGTCACTCTCTCCATCCACTGCATTCCCCACACATCCTTCACAATAACACTTCTCACGAAGGGCTTGCAGATCCGCCTGGCCTACTAAATCATGGGCTTCTTTGATTTACTTCTGTATTGCTAATGATGAGTTCTGTGCTGGGCACACAGGGAGGCCTCAGAATGAATGGATATGGATGTGACAGACTGTAAAGCCCCATATACATAAGTTATGACTATCCCACCCCAAACAGCATGGAGGGGCCAGGGGAGCAATGCTGAGGTACCTGCTGGACTTGAGGACTTGGAACAAAAGGGGGAGAAGAGGTGCAGTGATGGAGTTATGGAGGCATTTCTTCCCCCAGAGAAGGGTGGTCTTTGTGGCTGCTGTTCCCAGCCATCAATCTCTGTGCTAACTGCTGCCTTTTCTCAGGATTAAGACTCTTTCTTAAGGAATGACCCTGAAACAGAATGAAGGGTACTTACTAAGGCTGCAGATATCTAGCCCCTTACCCCACACACTAGATCGGAATCTCTGGGCCCTACAGTCTCAGAAAAATGACTTTCCTTTGCACTATGTGGAAACCAAGAAGGAGCCTTCCAGGAAGGATGGGGAGGAGGAGAGTGCCTAGAAGGGATACCCGTCATTCCTTCAGAAGCACTGGCTTTCTCCTACCCTTCCCTGGCATCAAGGGCAAAAGTTTAAGACTCTGGTAGGGCATGCCAGGATTTGCTCCAACCCTCTTGGCTATGGGATCAGAAGGAAGGGTAACTGGCAAGGTTGTGGCTGTCTGGAAGAGGCTTGGATACTTCATGTGCCACTGCCAAGTCGGATGGGGGTGGCTCTGCACTGCAGGATCCATGTCCTGTGCGGGGCTGGGTATCAGAAAGCCTTACTCTTGTTACAGCTGAGTAGACGTGCTCTTGCCTTCCGTGGCAGAGAGGGAACAGTGATGTGGGGAGAAGCGCCTTTCACCGGAACCAGGCAAGCCCTGGTGCAAATTCTGGCATCACTGACAAGCTGTGGGCATTTAGAAAGCTTACCAGGTGGCTGGGCACGGTGGCTCACGCCTGTAATCCCAGCATTTTGGGAGGCCAAGGCCGGTGGATCACGAAGTCAAGAGATTGAGACCATCCTGGCCAACATGGTGAAACCCCATCTCTACTAAAAATACAAAAATTAGCTGGGTGTGGTGGTGCACACCTGTGGTCCTGGCTACTCAGGAGGCTGAGGCAGAAAAATCGCTTGAACCCGGGTGGTGGAGGTTGTGGTGAACCGAGATCATGCCACTGCACTCCAGCCTAGCAACAGAGTGAGACTCCGTCTCAAAAAAGAAAAGAAAAAACTTACCAGGTCTCTGTCTGTCTCCTCATCTACCTATTGGAAGTAAGCATACTTGTTTCAATACTTGTTGAGAGTTTAAAAAGATATTAAACAGCCTAGCACAGAGCTATATACTTAGTGTGTTACTAATAAAGCTTAAGTGAATTTCAATCCCTTTAATGCTCACAAATGTACCAAAAGCCCTCACTATCTCCTCTCACTTAAACCTTACAACCCTGTAAGGACATATCGTCACTTCCACTATATAGATGAGGAAATAGGCTTAGGGGAAATTACTTGCCCAAGATCACATGGCTAGCTAAAGGCTGAGCTGAGCCTTGAACCCAGGTGTCAGTTCTCTCCTTCCCCTCATCCCCAAACCTGCTCCCTGAAATGTGCACTCTTCCTCCCTTCTCACAGGGAAATGGAATTATAAATGATCCAATATTTGAGCAGGTTGGGAAGGTACCTGGCTTCTCATCCCAATTAAAGTCAGACGTCATAAAGTCCCCATAAAGCCTGGGCTTTCCTTGGGCAGGCAGGAGTCCTTCTCTTTGGGCCCAGGCAACCCAGCAGCTTGAGACAACCTTACTCTGAGAGAAGAACCTGAACGTCAATTTCTGGATGTGGATGGGGAGGGACAGGATAGAGGGAAACCAAAACTCTTCATTTCATCCCAAGGCTGTCTGACACTGACAGAGAAAGGGGTTCTGACCCAGCTGAGGGTAACAGAGAACCGAACTCACATTGGTGTCTTTGTTCATTAGCCAGTGGCATACATAGAGGAGCACCGGAAGTACTCCCATTGTGGTGACTCTCCCTCAATTTAGTTTATCAATTTAGTGATCCCAGTTTAAAAAAAAAAAAAATACTGACTTTTGTTGGAATGTGGTAGGATTAGCTAATTGGAAAATTCCAGGGGGTAGGGCAAGGCCTGATGAACAAGAGTGGGAGTACAGGGGGGTTGATATTATAAAAACCAATAGGTATTAAGACTTTGGAAGCGAATATCCACGCTCAGGGGCTATTTAAGTAAAGTACAGTTTACTCACACAACAGAAATCTAGACAACTCTTTTAAAAAAAATGCAAGGAAACTTTTTTATATATAATGAACTCCAAGATACAGTAAGTCAGGAAGAACAAGGTGCAAAAGTGGGTATATGGTAAAAATTCATTCATGTAAAAATGAAGGGAGTTTTTTTGTTGCAGTGATTATCTATTGCTGAGGAACAAATGGCCCCCAAACTTAGTGATTTAAAACATTTATTATCCCGGTTTACATGGATCAGGAATCCAGGTACCGCTTACTTTGGCTGGGGTCTTCAAGAGGCTGTAGTGAAGCTGTCAGCTGGGGCTGTGGACCCATCAAGTGGGAGGGAGGATCTGCTTCCAAGTTCACTCACATGGCATTGGTCTCTCACATGAGCCTCTCCATGGCTGCCTCACAGCATCGCAGCTGCCTTTCCCAGGATGGGTGATCCCAGAGAGAGAGAGAACCCAAGATGGAAGCTGCAGTTTTTTTTTACCTATTTCAGAAGTGACATCCTACCACTTACATAGTATTCTATTCATTAGAAGTGTTTCTATAAGTCCAACCTGTATGGAACAAGACGGGAGTACACAGGGCATGAATACCAGAGGTGGGACCACTGGGGACTGTCTTTGAGGATACCTACCCACCACACTCACACAGGCAAATAGTATTTATGGAAGGAAGGATACACTAGAAACATTCAATATTGGTTGCCTTCTGGGAAGGGAATTGGGAAACGGGGGGAGAAAAATTCTTCACTGAATATACTATTGTTCTTTTAGAGACAGGGTCTCACTCTATTGCCCAGGCTAGAGTGGAGTGGTATGATCATGGCTCACTGTAACCTAAAACTCCAGGGCTCAAGTGATCCTCCTGCCTCAACCTCCCAAATAGCTAGGACACACCACCACACCTAGCTCTTTTATTTTTTTGTAGAGACAGGGTCTCACTATATTCCCCAGTCTGGTCTAAACTCCTGACCTCAAGCCATCCTCCCACCTCAGCATCCCAAAGTGCTGGTACAGGCATGAGCCATTGTGCCCAGCCTAATATGCTATTGCATACCTTTTTAACAATATTGATGTATCACTTAAAAAATAAATCAGGCCAGGTGCGGTGGCTCATGCCTGTAATCCCAGCACTTTGGGAGGCCGAGGTAGGCAGATCACTTGAGGTCAGGAGTTCGAGGCCAGCTTGGCCAACATGGTGAGACCTCAGCTCTACTAAAAATGCAAAAATTAGCTGGGTGTGGTGGCACGTGCCTGTAATCCCAGCTACTAGGGAGGCTGAGGCAGGAGAATCACTTGAATCCAGGAGACGGAGGTTACAGTGAGCTGAGATCACACCTCTGCACTCCAGCCTGGGTGACAGAATATGACTCCATCTGAAAAATATAAACAAAATTTATTTTAAATTTAAAAAGAACAATAAAAAGGATGGCATTTTAACAGAAAAAAAGCTAAGAGGGAACAAAATGAAAACAGTAACAATGATACTTAAATACTGTATAGTTATTACTGAGCACCATAAACATACCTGTTCCTACCTAGCCATTACTTGCTTCTGAGAGTTTAGAAACCTCTTTATGACACATGCATACACATAAGCAAGCAACTCCCATTTGTCGAGCAAAATACACACGCTCAAGCTGGGATTCACAGTTCTCTTCATAATTTGGTTCCAGTCCACCCTTACTGATCCATTTCCTGCTATCCTTCTATGAACCTGTTATTTGTGATGCTAAACTGTTATTTGCCAGTTCTGGTGGGTAAAGGCAACAAGCACAATGCCTGGCACACAGCAAGCTTTCGTCAAAGGTTGGCTTCCACTCCTGTGCATGGAATGCCCTGCACCTCTCTCCCAGCCCCAAGTAAAATTCCCCTCAAGACCTACCTCAAATGTGCTGTCATCAAGGAGTCCCCACAGGCAATTAGTTATCACCTCTATTCTCCCACGGCACCTGTTTTTACCTTAGCTATCACACTTTTATGATCATATTACAACTTAAATCTCTGCAACCCAAAGTCTGGACCTTGGGCCATCAGTATCGACATTAGCTGGGACTTTGTTTGAAATGAATCTGGGCCGGGCACAGTGGCTCACGCCTGTAATTCCAGCACTTTGGGAAGCCGAGTTGGGTGGATCACGAGGTCAAGAGATCAAGACCATCCTGGCCAACATGGTGAAACCCCATCTCTACTAAAAATACAAAAAAAGTAGCTGGGCGTGGTGGCACGTGCCTGTCATCCCAGCTACTCGGGAGGCTAAGGCAGAATTGCTTGAACCTGGGAGGCGGAGGTTGCAGTGAGCTGAGGTCACATCACTGCACTCCAGCCTGAGCCTGGTGACGGAGTGAGACTCTGTCTAAAAAAAAAAAAAAATTAATCTGGGGCCCACCTCAGACCTACAGAATCAGAATCCGAACCTTAACAAGATATCACTGATTTATTTGCACACTAATCTTTCCCTGGTTGAATTGTGAGCCTTTCTAGGGTTCTCTTTCATCTCTGTCCCCCGAGCCCAATATAAGACTTGACACTCAAAGGTTTTTTAAGTTTTATTTATAATATGTATATGATAGATTTTAATTTCTGGAAAAATAAATACACATTATTAATAATAGTTATAGGTAGATAATGATGCATAATCAGAATGGATTATCTTTACAGATAGAAAAACATGAAGATTTGGGAAAATGCATGTAAAATGTAAGATAAAATGTAAATTGTAAGATATAATACATTCACAAAAGGTATATAATTGTGTTGAGCTACATTTACAGATATAAAAAGAGGAACAAATTACATTAGGTTTAAAAAAAAAGACAATCTAACAGTATGTATCAATGATACCATGTTTGTTCTTTAAAAAATTTGCGAATTGGCCGAGCACAGTGGCTCATGCCTGTATTCCCAACACTTTGGGAGGCCGAGGTGGGAGGATCCCTTGAGCTCAGGAGTTTGAGCTGGGGAATATAGTGAGACCCCATCTATATTGAAAAAGATAAAATTTATGAATAGACACTAAAAAGATACACATCAAAATATCTCTAATGAAGTTTGTTTTAAAATTTTCTACTTAAATTTTTTCTAGTTTTCCTATGATCTTTATAAAAGCGTATCACTTATAAGAAAAAAGTTATTTTCATTTTGGAAAAATATCTATACCCTTTACTAAGCCGCTTTACATTCAAAGGCCAAGATTTTTACAGCGCCCTGGGAAGCTGAAAGGTCTGAAAGTAACACCACCATTACGTGGATGACGGTAGCAGGCCTTGGAAATGTGACCCCAAAGGAGTGACTCTGGGCTGGTGTTCTCCCACCCTGAAACTACTCCAGACTCAGAGGAATGTGGCAAGCCAGATGCCAGCTTTGGCCAAAAAAATAAACCCTGTCATTTTAGGAGTCTCACTATGCCAGTGACTTCCTCTGAGAGTGTAACAGTAATGAGGAACCCTTCAACCACAAAGCATTCAAGATTCATGCTGCACCACCTCCCCCTGGTGGCAGGCGCTGGAAATTGGCTTGATGATAACTATTGCAATTGGTCAAAATTTTTAAAATATATTCCGTCAAAATCACACTTATTTCTTTAAATCATCAAAACCAGTTTTCCTTTTGTCGAGGATTCAAGTATTGACAAAAGACACAAAGCCAGGACCTGCTGTCAACCAGACGATGCTGTGGATGATACCAAGGGCAGTGTGGCTCTTTGCCTCCTGTCCTAGCCTTCCTTATCTCTTCAAGTCTACAATGGATACAAGGCACTATGTTCTTCAGCAATGCCTTTCCTGCTTTCTCTCTATCTCCATCCACTTCCCTGAGCCTCAGAAAAGGGCAAGGCGCATGGCTCACATACTCTCAGCCATGGCCTGGCATGCAGCAGCTCCTTCAGACATCTAAGCACTAATCCCCCCCAGGACCCAGTCTTCAGGTTCAACTCATTGATATTTCAAATATGTCAGATTGAAATACTGACGTTTCTTTAGAAATAGCAGGGTGTAGCAATGTCAGTCTTCAACTGTGGTGCCCGTTGTCTCCAGATAAACACAGCTTCCTTACTCTTCCAGGAAGAAGGACACATTCAATAGGATATCTGAAACAGGAAGAGAGAAAAACTGGCATTATCACCTCTCCAGAGAATATAAAACACACAGAGGCATAGCAAGGGCATCTTTCTAATGTTTCCAAAGAGGTGGGCCACAGGGAAAAAATGGAGGAGAGGAGACATGAAGGAAGAACAAAAACCCAGTACCCTGTACAAGATCTTGGTGTTCATCTTTTGAAATTCGGTCCCAGGCCTTCGGCAAAGCTTGGATGTTTGCCAAGTCTCCCCACTGGATAGAAGAAAGAAGATACTTTCTCTTCAGGTACCTTCCTGGAAGTTAAGGACTGCTCAAAAGAAAATGAAATATGCTGAAGAAAAAAAAAAAAACGCCCTGATAAGAACCAGAAGGAAGTATAAAAGTGAAAGTGCAGATATCCTTACACTTTACCAAATGGGCCTGATTAACCAATCCTACAAATATTTCCTACAATATTTACTAATATGGTTTTGTGCTACAGGGAAAGAGGAATATAACCATCCCTGAAATCTGGGATCTCAGCACGGTGAGGACAAAACCAGATCCTGAGAAGAAAAAACAAAAGTGACGTGAAAGGTAAAGCTCAGTGGAGGTCCTAAGAATCAATACATCCAATTCAGAGGACGTCAGGGACACTCCAGCTGGTAGGAAACATAAGCAAAGGCACAGAAGCAGAGATGCATGGAATGAATTCACAGAAAGCAAATCTTCCAGTCTGCTCAGCATGGATGCCACATGGAGAGCAGTCGGCAAAGCTGAAAGGTGGGCTGAGCCAGAACAGAAAGAACACTGAGTACCAAGGTAGGGACTTTGAACTTGATCCCACTGGCAACAGGAGCTATTCCTATACAGTACAGTACAATTCTGATCCTAAGTAGCAGGATCAGAACCAGACTTCCTGAAGATACAGAGTGAAATCATTAATTGGAGTCAGCTTAGAGGGAAAGAAACTAGAGACAGAGAAACCTGTCAAGAAGCTACATGCAATTAAGAGTCCACGTGAGAGGTAAGAAGCCACGTAAGCAGCAGAGGGGACAGAGAAGGAAAATTGAAGAAGCACCAGGGAAACAGAATGAAAGGACTTGAAGAGTGACTGTGTCAACATTCTGGCACATAGCAAGTGCCCTGTAATGTCAGCCGCAGCTCTTGCTCCTTCTGCCCATGCTCCTGTTGCTGTTACTACTGCTGCTACCCATGCATTTAAAAGAGGAAATAGGCCAGGTGAGGTGGCTCATGCCTGTAATACCAGCACTTCTGGGTAGCCGAGGTGGCAGGATCACCTGAGGTCAGGAGTTCAAGATCAGCCTAGCCAACATAGTGAAACCCCATCTCTACAAAAAAATATATATAAATTAGCCAGGCGTAATCTCAGCTACTTGGGAGGCTGAGGCAGAGAACTGCTTGAACCCGGGAGGTAGAGGTTGCAGTGAGCCAAGATCATGCCACTGCACTCCAGCCTGGGCGACAAGAGTTAAACTCTGTATCAAAAAATAAATAAAAGAGAAAACAGGGTGGATTCTACAACTCAAGGAAAAGGGGGCTGAATTTGAGGGCTAGATTGAGGAGTTCAGTTGTAAATTTGAGTTTGCAGTTCCAAGAACAATCTAGTTGGAGGCATCTGCAGGAAACCAAAAATCAAGACTAGAGAAAAGCAAAGCTGGGGTTTGGGAGTTATTCACATGAAGGCAGAAGCCTGAGCCAGAGGCTAAAATTAGGCATCAGGCAAGAACTGAGAAAAGACCAGGCATGGTGGCTCACACCTGGACTCTTAGCATTTTGGGAAGCCAAGCTAGTAGCATCACTTGAGGCCAGGAGTTCAAGACCAGCCTGGTCAACACAGCAAGACTCCATCTCCTAGGGAATTTGTTTTTTTGAGAGAAAAAGGTTAGAGCTTCAACTAATTGGTCTTTCCGCTTTTACCTTTGCCCCCAGTACCCCAAATCTTACCCCACAACAAAGCCAGAATGATACTGTTAAAGACATAGGTCTTATCCTCCTTACTCAAAAGTTTCTAAGAGCTTTTTCTTTCACTCAAATGCTTTTTATTCTGGGGGGAGGGGGGCTACAGTTTGAGACAGGGTCTTAATCTGTCACCTAGGCTGGTTCACACCTAGGCTGGTGATCACGGCTCACTGCAGCCTTGACCTCCCAAGGCTCAAGCAATTCTCCCACCTCAGCATCCTGAGTAGCTACGACTACAGGTGCACACCACCATGCCTGGCCCAAAGTTTTTTTTTTTTTTTTTTTAGACTCTTTTACCCAGGCTGGAGGGCCGTGGCATGATCTGCAACCTTGACCTCCCCAGTTCAAGAAATCCTCCAGCCTCAGCCTCCCAAGTAGCTGGCACTACAGGCATACACCACCATCCCTGGCTAATTTTTGTATTTTTCTGTAGAGACAGGATTTCACCATGTTGCCCAAGCTGGTCTCAAACTCCCAGGCTCAAGCAATCCTCCCACCTCAGCCTCCCAAAGTGTTGGGATTATAGGCATGAGCCACCACACCCAGATCCCAAATTCTTTCAAAGACCTTCAAGTCCCTACAAAGTCGAGCTCTGTCTTACGACCCTCATCTGCTATTAAGCTCCCCCTCATACTCTGCTCTAGCCTCTTATTTCCTGAATATACCAGAAATGTTCTTACCTCAAGGCCTTTGCATTTGATGTTTCCTTAGCCTAGAACTTTCTCTCCCCAAATATCTGTGTAGCTCTTTCCCTTTCCCTCTTCAGACGTTTGCTCAAATATCACTTTCTCGTGAGGCCTGCTCTGACCACTCTATTTTAAATCGCAACCCTCTCCTCCCCTCCTCACTCTCCCCACTTTATTTTTCTCCATAGCGCTTATCATCATCTAGTATTCTATTTTCCTTTTTTAATGCCTGTCTCTCTGCACCAAGAACAGTGCCTGACATGCAGTAGCTACTCAATAAATTATTAGAGGAAGGATTGTACAAAAGAATGCAGAAAGAATCCAAGTTCAGGAACCCCCAAAGAGAACTGATCCACACTATATAGTTTTCCAATCTTGTGAAAACTGAAATTTGAAAGACTTCGAACAGCTCTGGCTATGATCTGAAATGTGTGCAAAGGATATGAATTTCGATAATGCCTCTCAATATCTTGCAACCATTCCAACATGTCAGCCACAGAGGGGCTCACCGCTGAAGACTGTAGGACAGCATCAGTGCCAACTCTGTCTGCGTGTTGTTCATAGATCTGAAACACTCGCTCCACATGGCTGCTGACTGTGTCTCGCACCTTGAGGAGGATGGCTCTGTAGGAAAGAGTCTGACATTAGGCAATATCATGAGACAGGTATAAAGGAAGGTTTCTCAATTTTGGCACTACTGATATTTTGGACTACATGATTCTCTGTTGTGGAGAGCTGCCCTGTACATTGGAGGATGCTTAGGAGTATGCCTGGCCCCTACCCAATAAACAACAGGAGTAAACTATACCTATACTCTCCATAAGCCATAACAACCAATGTCTCTAGATGTTGCCAAATGTCCCCTCATTGCAAAACCATCTCTTTGTAATCCCAGCACTTTGGGAGGCTGAGGCAAGTGGATCACGAGGTCAGGAGTTTAAGACCAGCCTGGCCAAGATGGTCAAACCCTATCTCTACTAAAAATACACAAATTAGCCAGGCATGGTGGCAGGCACCTGTAGTACCAGATACTGGGGAGGCTGAGGCAAGAGAATCGCTTGAACTGGGAGGCAGAGGTTGCAGTGGGCCAAGATCATGCCACTGCACTCCAGCCTGGGCAACAAGAGCGAGACTCTGTCTCAGGAAAAAAAAAAAAAAAGAAAAAGAAAAACCATCTCCAAGCGAGACCAGTGGGATAAGGGAATTAGTGACAATGCCTTGGAGGTAGGAGTGGTTCAAGAATCAAGAAAGGGGCTGGGCACAGTGGCTTGATACCTTAATTCCAGCACTTTGGGAGGCTGAGGTGGGTGGATCACCTGAGGTCAGGAGTTTGAGACCAGCCTGGCCAACATGGCAAAACCCCATCTCTACTAAAAATAAAAAAATTAGCCAGGTGTGGTGGTGCACGCCTGTAGACCCAGCTACTCGGGAGGCTGGGACATGAGAATCACTTGAACCCAGAGGCAGAGGTTGCAGTGAGCTGAGATAGTGCCATTGCACTCCAGCCTGGGTGATAGAGTGAGACTTCATCTCAAAAATAAATAGAATTTTTTAAAAATTAAATCATTTCATATTTATGT